GACAAACATTAAATACCAGAAACTCCCTGGGCTGGATTTACAAGAACGTGCCAATATCTGTCACCTACGTTGGACAGTGTGTCCCCAGCCTGAACCAACAGAAAAATGCCAACACCACAGTGAGACATGGAGGGCATGAAGAAGGAGAAAAAGGACAAGGCACACCCAATTTCCTCCAGCTTGTCCCCTTTGGACCCCTCATCTAGAATCCTAAAATTTTACTTTTGCACCTGTGCCACACTTAATTATTCCTTATATCAAACAGCCAGAGGGATGCCCTGGGTTCCCACAAATGGAATCCTGTGTGTTGTTAATAGAAAGCAGACAAATACTCTGTGCAGAGGTGTAGGCCTGCTTTTGGTGACTGGCTAGAACAACTGTCCGTGAGCTTTGCCCATGTGCTGCTGGCTAGAAAGTTTTTTAAATGCTCTGGAACAAAGAAATCTTTGTCTGCTGCTGGCAGGATGTGAGCTTTGCCACCTTCCAGTTGTCACGACCACGTCATGAGGCTGGTGCTGCAATAAAGCTCAAGGAGCAAAGCCCAGCAGCTCTGTCCTGTTTGTGCAGAACCCCAGCACACCCTGCCTTTGGGGTTTCAGCATTTGGGGTAAAACAGGGCCTCCTCCCTGTGCCCAGCATGGCAGGGGTGGCAGGGGACACCCCCCTGCCAGCTGCCACATTCACAGGAACATCTGGAAGAGAACGCCAAGCACTGGCTGGAAGCTCAAAGATCCAACTCAATGCTCTTTTCTTTAAAAAGATAACCGAATGTAAGGTGGAAAGCACGGATTTCTTGGTAAGGATGGTCTGAAATAGCAACACCTTTGAGATGTCAGCGTTCAGCACTGATTTCTGCTTTGCTTTGGTGAACTTTGGGATCTGCACTGCCTGCCTGGGAGCCTCAGCTGCTGCAGGTATTTCACAAGACATTTCATCTTTGTATAGAAACCACAATTGTGCCTGCTGAACATTCCCCAGTCACCAAAGAAAGAAAACAAAAGAGACATTTTCTTCTTGTTGCACTCTTTTTTCCAGCCTTTAAAATGAAAAAAACACCTTTTCTGTAGCTCTTTCCGTAACTATGTGGGTTATACAATTTTTTATTTTTATTTTAAAGGTGCAACAGCCATCTCCACGAACTATTGTGGTTCCCAGGAGTTCATGTTCACCTGAAAACCCTAAAACTGTGGAATGTGAAACCGAACTGCAGGATTTGTAATAAATGCCAAGGGCAGCAGGTGACCAGAGCTCCTCTCCAGCCAGGATGAAAAGGGGGCAGAGGGCAGAGGCAGTTCAGGGGCAGAGCAGCAATTACAGGAAGATTTCCCATCCCTGGGCTGCCTCCTGCTCTGGGGGAGATCACAGGGACTCAGCCACTGCTGAAGCCACTGGAGAAGGAAGAGATAAATGAAAATAACTAAAATCCCCAAATCAGGAGAGGAGAGCTGAGAGCAGAGCATTCAACTGGACTCCAGTTCCACCTGCCCTGGAGCAGCTCTGGTCACCTGCTGCCCTTGGCATTTATTAAAAAGGATTCTACCCAGAGTCATTTTCCTCCTCAGATCATCCCATCCTGTCCTTCCTCTTTTTCTGTCCCTCTGGCAGCTCCTCCCAGGCCACCCTCTGCTGGCTCCTGTGTCACTGGAGCAGGGTGACAGAGCTCCAGTGATGCAGGCACTGTCCCTAACCTTGACTTTAATCCCAGGAAATCCAGTGCCATCCCCTGCAGCTCCCTGCCTGCTCTGCCCAGCTCAGTTTTGCTGCACACGGGTAGATAAGCACATGCTGGCAGCGCAATAATTGCTTTAGAGCAGCTAGAGAGCAGCAGAAACAACTTCTTGCCATCCCAGGGGCTGTTTTTTTCCAGGAGCAGGAAAAGAGAGAGGAGAACAACCCTCGGTGCAGCAATCAGTGGCTCCAAGGCTCTCCAGAGGGGAAGCAATCAGCACCAGGCACAACCTTTACTCCTTAAACTTCCCCAGAGGGAACATTTCAAAGCATCAAAAGGATTGAAACCTGTCCAGCTGCTGCTGAGCCATAATTAACAGTGGCACAGTCAGCTCTGAGTGGGGCTGACAAAGCCTCAGCAGCAAATCCTCTTTATGCCTCTGCTGGAGGGTTTCTAGAGGCCAGGCAGGAGGAGGACAGGGGAGCTCTGCCCAGGGGGGACAGAATTTGCTTTCAGCTGCCTGGCCTTTCCCAGCCCCTGGGGAGCTCCAGGGCTGTCCTGGGGTGCAGCCTTTGCTCGGGGCAGAGTGGCAGCTCCTGGGGCCAGTGCCCAGCTGGAGCTTTGACAAACAGGGGCACTGGGCTCAGCAGGAGCCCTTCCAGAACCAGGAGCTGCCCCTGCCTCCCTCGGTGCCTCCTGCAGGGCCAGGCTGACCTTGCACAGCTCTGGTTATCAACTGACCTTGGGCTGTCCCATCTGTCCCTCCCCTGTCACATCCACAGCCCCGGGCCTCTCACTGAAAGTGAGAGCAACTAATCATAAAAAAAAACAACAACAACAACAAAAATATCAAATTAATAAAATAATATTATCAATAATAATAGGAATAATATTATTCAGTAATAATATTCATGATTATACTAACAATATTACTTAATGTTAATTAGTAATATTGATAGTATAGATAATAATTAATTATTAATTATTAATAGAACCAGCAATTATTGAGTGCCTTGGCACAGAGTGGCATGGGAGGAGCACTGGGTGCCAGGGCTGACAGGGGCTGCTGGAGCTGGGTGGGACAGCTGGGCTGGCAAGGGCTGCCAGCAAGGTGCCAGGTGCTGGAGAGGGCAGGGGAGGAGGTTATAGAGGAGGGGAGGAGGTTTTCACCCCAGAACTGCTGGACAGGACAGGACAGGACAGGAGGCTTTCACCCCAGAACTGCTGGAGAGGACAGGACAGGACAGGAGGTTATAGAGAACAGGACAGGAGGTTTTCACCCCAGAACTGCTGGAGAGGACAGGACAGGAGGTTATAGAGGACAGGACAGGAGGTTTTCACCCCAGAACTGCTGGCTGTCTCTGTGGCACTGCTCCAGTTGCCCACGTGAAGATCCGTGCCCGTTGCAGGATCTCTGCTCTGGATTGCTCCAGGCTGTGCCAAGGCATTGCCAGCACGGGGTTTATTTCCTGCTGGGCCTTTATGACCCCACTGAAACCATAAATACCTCTAAGGTCCAACTAAAACAGTTTCATTTTCCCCAGAAACAGCCGTGTAAAGGAGATGATGGCAATGCTGTTCAAAAGGGGAAGGGGGGATCAGGTAACAGGAGATTTTTATTGCCTTGTTGCTTTTACTTCCCCCCACGAAGTGCCCCACTCCTCTTTGTTCTGTGGCTGAGGCAACTCCCTGGGGAGTTTCCTCATGCTGGGATGGTCTGAGAGGATCCTTGGGAAGAGCTCCTGGGAGCTGCATCCCAGCCACACCTGGAGCCCAACCACCCATCCCTCCATGCAAGGAGATCTTTGGTCAGTTCAGCCCCCCTGGCACAGCCTTGCCCCAAGAGCTGGGAGCAGCCGGGCACACCATCTAAAAGAACTTTTAAATCCATTTAAAATCGACTTTTAAGCACAAAAAGGCACTTTCCTGAGCACAGCCACAGGATTCCTTTTCCACACACTTTATTTACAGCAGTCTCCCATCCCTGGGCTTCCAAGCCAAAATCCCTCCAGGAGGACTTCTTTTGGGGGTGAGAATGGGATGATGCTCATGATCCCTGCCCTGGTAGGGGTGGAATGGGATAGGTCTGGGGGTCCCTGTCGTGGCAGAGGTGGACTGGGATGAGTTTTTGGGCTCCCTGTCATAGCAAGGATGGATTGGGATGAGTTTTTGGGGTCCCTGTCATAGCAAGGATGGATTGGGATGGGTTTTTGGGGTCCCTGTCATGGCAGGGGTGGATCGGGATGGGTTTTTGGGGTCCCTGTCATAGCAAGGATGGATCGGGATGGGTTTTTGGGGTCCCTGTCATAGCAGGGATGGATAGGGATGGGTTTTTGGGGTCCCTGTCATGGCAGGGATGGATTGGGATGAGTTTTTGGGGTCCCTGTCATAGCAGGGATGGATTGGGATGAGTTTTTGGGGTCCCTTCCCGAATTCCCGGCACTCCCGGCCCCGCTCGCGGCTCACTCGCGCCCCCCAGCGGCCACGCGGGGCAGGCGCAGCTCGGCCGCCCCCGCAGCTCGGGCGCATCCCGGGCTGAGCCCTCCCAAACCCTTCCCAAATCCTTCCCGAACCTTTCCCAAACCCTTCCCGAACCCTTCTCGAACCCTTCCCGAACCCTTCCGACCCTCTGCCCCCATCCTGAGCTCAGCCTTCCCAAACCCTTCCCAAGTCCTTCCCGAATCCTTCCCGAACCCTTCCCACCCTCTGCCCCATCCCGAGCTCAGCCCTCCCAAACCCTTCCCAAACCCTCCTGAATCCTTCCCGAACCCTTCCCACCCTCTGCCCCATCCCAAGCATCCTCCGAGCTCAGCCCTCCCAAACCCTTCCCAAACCCTCCTGAATCCTTCCCGAACCCTTCCCACCCTCTGCCCCATCCCGAGTTCAGCCCTTCCAAACCCTTCCCAAACCCTTCCCACCCTCTGCCCCATGCCAAGCATCCTCCGAGCTCAGCCCTCCCAAATCCTTCTCAAACCCTTCCCAAATCCTTCCTGAGCCCTTCCCACCCTCTGCCCCATCCCGAGTTCAGCCCTTCCAAACCCTTCCCGAACCCTTCCCACCCTCTGCCCCATCCCAAGCATCCTCCGAGCTCAGCCCTCCCAAATCCTTCTCAAACCCTTCCCAAATCCTTCCCGAACCCTTCCCACCCTCTGCCCCATCCCAAGCATCCTCCGAGCTCAGCCCTCCCAAATCCTTCCCAAACCCTTCCCGAATCCTTCCCACCTCCTGTCCTGCCGGCAGAGCATCCCAGCCCCTTCCTGCCGTCACTCAGACGGCACAAACACCGAACCTGCTCCCGAGCCCCTCTCCTCTGAAAACCTCGCACCCAGGGCTACAAAGCCACCTGGAAGTTCTGTTCCTCGGGCTCCGGAGCCTGTTTGTCCTTGCCCTGCCCGCGGTGCCAGCGCTCGGCAAACTGCACGGCGTCGTGGATGCTGTGGAAGGCCAGCTGGCCCCCAGCGCTGCCTGCCTGGCCAGCCCAGCCTCCCTCCCGCAGCCGCTGGCGGATGGAGGGGTTGCAGTTGGCCAGGAGCACCTGGACACCAACCTCCTTGTAGTCGTGGTGCGTCTCCTTGAGCACAGAGAGACCCACGGTGTCTATGAACTGCATGGCCCCACAGTCCAGGATCAGGGTGTGCATATCTGTGGAGGGGGGACAGGCATCTCCTGGAGGCTTCTCAGCCCTTCTCCTGGCCTGTTTCAGGCAGCCAAAATCGGGGGCCCAGCAGCTCCTGCCTGGCTCTGGGCTTGCCTGGGCCCCGGGCTGGGGGTGGCTGGCAGCCAGCAGCACGGGGTTGACCCCGGTTTTCTGGTACAGCACAGCCTTGAAATAATCCTTGTTGGCGTAGTAGAGGGAGCACTCGAAGCGGAAGATCTTGACGTTGGCGATGCTGCTGAGCTGTTTGTAGGCGGCCTGGTCCTCGTAGATCTCCCTGTTGCTGACCTTGCCCAGCAGCGTGGCCCGGGGTCGCTGCGTGCGGAAGATGATGCAGAGCAGGGCGAAGCAAACGCCCACCAGGAGCCCGATCTCCGTGGTGACCAGCGTGGAGCACAGCATGGTTGTCCACCACACCGCCGTGTCCAGCTTGCTGAGCTGCCACATCCTGGGCGTGTCACGGAACTTCCTGAGGCCGCCCCGCAGGTTGACGATGGTGACCACCCCCAGGATGGAGGTCTGCAGCGAGTAGAAGAGCGGGGAGATCCACAGCAGCACCAGCAGCAGCACCAGCGAGGTGACCAGCCCGGACACCTGCGTCTGGCTCCCCGTGGACTCCTTCAGCAGAGTCTTGGTCAGGGCAGCAGAGCTGGCAAAGCAGTAGAAGAAGGAAGGGATGAGGTTGCACATGCCAATGGCGATCATCTCCTGGTTGGCGCTGACGGCGTAGCCGTGCTTTTTGCCAAAGATTTCTGCCAGGGACACGGTCATGGCAAAGCCAATGACAGCGATGGGCAGAGCATCCAGGGCCAGGCTGGGAAACAGGCTGATGTCTGGCACGGTGGGTTTCCTGAAGCCCGTGGGGATGTCCCCACACACGGCGGCCTTGTAGCGCTGCTCGAAGTCAAAGTAGTGGGAGACGAGCGTGGCCACGATGACCACCAGCAGCTCGATGGGGAACGGGGCCTTCATCCTCCCCTTGTAGCGCTCGTTGAGCTCCTTGACGGGCACTATGATGGCCAAAGCCACCAGGCTGGTGAGCAGGTCGCAGATGTTGGTGTTGTGGATGTGCCTGAAAAGGTCCACCCAGGTGAGGATGAAGGAGCCCACCCCCTCGTGCCGGGGGATTTTCAGGCCCAGCAGATATTTCATCTGGGAGGTGATGATGGTGAGGCTGGAGCCAGCCACGAAGCCACCCAGCAGAGGCTCTGACAGGTAGACAGCCACGAAGCCCATCTGGAAAACCCCCAGCAGGATCTGAAAGGCAAAGCAGCCACAGCTTTAGCAGGGGTGAGAAGGGCTGGGAGGGGTGGCTGGAAATTTGTGTCGCTTTGCTGCCACTTTAGCAGCTCTGGCTACTCTGTCTGGGGATATGCTGAGCATTCCATGGGAGGAATTTGTCTTCAGGAGTTAATCTGGGGTATGGAAAACTAGAGACACCTACCTCCAACACTTCTCTGTGGTTGGGGATGCCACACAAAAAAATCCTACAAGGTCCCTGCTGCTGCCTCTTCACGAGCAGCCCCATCAGAGCAGCTCTGGGTATCACTCACTTGGGATGCTCTGAATTTTAGCTGTCCCAGTGGAAAAGCCTGGAACTGCTCAGTGGCAGCTTGGCCTAGGCAGTGGGGACACTGCCAGGGAGCATGGCAGGGTGCTTCAGGGTGGTCCTCGCCAGCCCCAAACCCCTTCTGAGCTGCCCAGCTGCAGAACTGAGGCGGTGGGAAGGCAGTTCACAGATCCTTCTCCTCTCTTGCTGTGTCTGATCCTGAGGATGTTTCAGAGACATCCAAGGACCTGGTTGTCCCACGGAGGAAAACAACCCCCATTCAGCCGGGTTTGCACTTTAAAAATCACTGCATTCACAAATATTCATGGGTGTCAGAGTCTAGAAACATTTCTCAGGGCTCTTAAGCCTGACCCAACCCTTGGAGACCTCAAACTCGGAGAAACCATCACCAGGGTGAACATCCTACCTGGTAAAGGCCCACCAGAAAGCTCAAGGACAGGGCCACGGTGATGGCGTAGCAGCTCCTGTCACAGAGCTCCGTCCCGTTCCTGGGGGAGCTGGAGTTGTCCCCGAGGGCAGCGCTGCTGTCCCCGTAGCCCGCCAGCTGCAGCTGGCGCGTCACCGACTGCCCCACCATCAGGCACAGCACCCCAAAGGAGCCCACGCTGGCGTGGCGCGACGTGGCCGCGGCCGCGTAGATGATGTTGCAGAAGAAGTTGGTGTAGATGCCGTAGATGGGGTCCTGGTTGGCCAGCAGCGAGTAGGAGATGGACTGGGGGATGGCCACCACGCCCACCAGGAGCCCCGAGACCACGTCCCCCAGCAGCTGGGTGCGGGGGCTGTAGCGGGGCAGCCACACCAGCACCGGGAGCAGGCGGCGCAGCCACGCGCCCGGCCCGCGGCGCCCGCACGCCGCCCTGGCCTCCTGCAGGATCAGCTCCCCGGCGCTGCAGGCCGCGGGCTCCTGCTCCTCCAGGCTGACAAAGGTGGCGGGAGCCTCGTGAGGCCGGGGCGAGCCCAGGGTGGCTTTGCTGGGCGCCGGCTCCTCCGCGGACGTGTCCTCCATGGGCACAGGGGAGCTAAGGGCAGGAGAGCAGGAAAGCATCAGGGGGCTGCAGGCACGAGCACAGGGGGCTTTGCTTAGGTCCAGGGCTCGTGGCATGGGCAGATAAACAAACAAACAAACAAATAAATAAATACATTTATTAAATGAGTGAGCAGGTACCACATCACCCACTGTTACCTCAGACAAATCCACCAAAAGTGTTTTCCCAACGTTGATTCATTTGTTGTCACTTCCAGAGTTGATTAATCACAAGCCCCAAATCAGAGATACAGAGCCCCCCGTGCTCCTTGCCCGTCCCTCTTGGTTCGAAACGGGAACTTTATTGGATTTCAGTGAAATTTCACTGAATTTCACTCCAGCTAAAACTCCTTCTGCCAAGACACCGCTACTTAGGCAAAAAACTTCTTTTGGAAATGTTAAGATATTCCAGAGGATACTTTAGGAATCAAGATGTGGGTAAGGGAGATAATTTGCAAATTATTTTTTCCTTCAACATTACATAGTTTTAAATTGCATTAGATTTGTGGCTTGCATCAAACGGGAGCTCCCATCTGCTATCCAGCTTTGTCAGGCTGGTTAAGTAACAGAGACCTTCCAGAGCTAATCCAACTTTTTTTCAATCAAAACGCACCAAAAAACCTTTTTTGTGACAACTGAACAACACACAGAGAAAAAACACTCCTGAGGGGAGACCCCACGGTGGCTGTGGTTTGGAGCTGAACTGGGAGGAGGAGAAATCCCATTGCCTTGCCCTGCACACATCACCAGATCTTACCTCTGGCTGCAAACTGGGTGTTCCCTCAGCACCTGGAGCTTCTCCCCTGGGACAGAGCTGGCTCCACCCGGCAGCAGCCCTGGGCAGAGGAAAACCTGGCCCAGGTGCCACTTCCCTTGGATCTGAGCTCCTGGGCCAGGCCATGTCTCTTTTATCTCTGTCCAGGCGCTGGAAACGGTGCAGCCACCAAGCTGGGCTGTGTTTGGGAAACAAACACCATTCTCCGAGAGTATTTTGGCTGACAACTTGTTCTGGACACGAAGAATGATTGAGAGGGCTTAGAGAAGTGCTCCTGCCAGATAAGAGGAGTGCTTGGATCTGGAGAAGTGTTTGCTAAACAAGGGGAACGATGGAAAGAAACCTCCCTGCTCTGCCCCTCTCTGAACTGAGCGAGCTCAGGTCCTGCTGGGCTTCTCTGCTCAGGTTTTCATCTATTCTGGACAAGCTTTTGTGCCAAAACCCAAGAAGCGAGGTTTGTTCCAGAATGACTTTCCTTTCCTGGCAGTTTTTCCTCCACTGAGGCTGTGTAAAGCAGAGAGCAAAGCTGTGGTGACACAGGTTATTTCAGGGAGGCAGCAGAACTTTGGATATGTCCAATCTGCACAATTCCCATTTTCCAGAGCCTTTGAGCACACATAACAAGGGGCTTTGCTGTGCACAAACACAACTGGGAAAAGAGCAGGGCTTTATTCTTTGGTAGGTAAAGGTGAGCAATTGCAGCAGCCAGGAAAAAAAGGATTGTTCATCCCCCTGAGTGGAAAGAGCAGCCCCATAAATACCAGATGGAACTGCTCTGCCCTTGTCAGCTGTGCCACCAAGCTCCACTAGACCTCTCAGCCCACACTCCCCTTGTTCTGCCCCCTTCTTTTCCATCTCTTTTCCACTGACCCAGCCCAGATGTTGCTGGATGTGCCTGCAGCTGGATAAATTCCTGGCAGACAGGCACCTCGGAGAGGGGGCCGAGAGCTGGGCTGGGGATGGAGAGGTGGAATCCCACAGGGTTTGGCTGCAGATGCTGGGGAGACACCCTGAGGGAAGAGAAGGGGAAAACCAACATCCTGAGCTACATTTATCTCATCAGGGGAAGTCTGCATCTCAGTAATTAGGAGTAAATAAATAAGGAACATCCGTGTTCTCTGGCAGCAGGAGAAAATGAGAGCACATGGTAGGGAGGCAGCTGCTCAATCTTTTTATCTATTTATATCAATTCTTTTTTTTTCTCTGCCATTCCTCCACAGCTCATGTATTTTCAGGTGCAACGTTGAGAGTTCCCCTTTCCCTTCCCCTGCTCTCAGTAACAGACTCTATTTTTCCTTTCAGAAACTTTATAATTGTTCCCAGTCACAGCTCATTTTGTGCCTTGGCCTGGATGATGTGGTAGCTACTCACTCATTTTCTTTTTCCATCTTCTTGCCCAGCAAATGACCCAAATTTCCATTTTCTCTAGGAATCCTTCATCTTGAAATCCACTGAAGTGGTGGTGAGTCAGCCACTGAAGAGCTGGCCAGGCTGCACTTTTAAAGCCTGATTGTTCCCTGCGATGAAACACAGCTGAGCACAATCCATCTTTGGGTTTGATCTCCCTTAGGAAGATCCAGCTCTGGATCTCTGCCCTGTCCACCACAAAAATGGGGTGAAGCACTTTTTCCACCTGTGGCAGGATTTAGGTTACCTTCAGCCTCCAGCCTGCTGCCACTGCCTGCTGCTGCTGTTCCTTCCCAATTCCATCTTCATTTATATATTCTGGAGCTCTTTTACTTATTGAAACTTCCTTTATGCCCTGATAAATCCTGGGAAGCCCTGACAAAGCCCTGCTCTTCCCCCTCTCCAAGCCTTCCCTGCCATCTTCTTCTAGAACTTTTTCCTCCCCTTTCTTGTGTTCAAATTCCCAGTTGTTTTTGTATACTCAATTAATAAATATCTCTTTTAATATACTCCATACTTTACTTTAAAATATTCCACACTCTTTGCAGTTCTCAAGCTCCTTGTCCCTGCTGGAATTCCAGCTGTGGGCACTGAGGAGAGGCCACTCCATGTCCTCCATCCCAGCAGAGGAGCTGTGAGAACATCCTTGGTGACACTTTGGACAGCTCTGGAATTCCTGCATGAGGCGAGGCAAGGGCAGGAAACACAAAAGCTTCACATTCGCTGTGGGAAAAGCATCACAAAAAAAGAAAAAAAAAAGAAAAATAAAGAAAAAGAAACCCACCAGGGGAACTGCAGGTGACCTTGAGGCACCCAAGGCTGTGCTGCCTTCCCCATGCAAGGTCAGCCCAGCTGAAACAGTTTGTTTCCAAAAGCATCTTCAAGGTTTGTTCTTTATTGCCACTATAAACTCGCTCCATGCTCCGCTCCATCCTGGAGCTGCACAGATGGGTTTGGACAACGCAGGTGGGGACAGGACCCTGCCTGCACTGACAGGGCCCCTCTGCTTCCCAGAGCATGAAATCCAAAGTTTTTATTCCTGGCATGGTGTGTGAGCAATTTAACATCCATCCACGCCACAGCCCCTGCAGCCAGGTGAGAAACAGCTGTGCCAACAAGCTCCAGGCACAAGGACATGCAGGAGTGGCATTTGCTGGTTTCTAGCCTAAAGTTAGCAAAAAAAAAAAGGAATTTCCTGCACCTGTGATTGTTATCCTGGCATTTTGTAACAGGCAAATGCAGCAAATTGAAGTTTGTGCTGCTGTGTCAATGCATGCCTTTGGTTTTTTTACAGGACAGGTTTGCAGCTTGTGTGTTCCTCAGAACAGATTGAACTGCACTGCACAAAGAGGCTTGGTTTGCTTTAAGGTTTGTAAATTCGTTTGTGATTGTTTTTGTGGGAGGCCCATGACCTGAGAGGGCTGGGACATGGCTGCACCCACTGCTCCCCATGACTTAGATCACAATTTTTATAAAAAAAGATAAAAAAGGAAGTGAGCCAGGTAAAGGTGCCAGGTTAAGAGAGATGCTTTTCCTTCCCTTCAGATGGGGGGCTCTGACAGTATTTTTGGATGGCTGCTGGTTCAGCTTCACTTGAAATGTATTTAGTGCAAAACACCATCTTTTTTAAGGGGAAAACAGGAAAAGGAGACAAGCCCAGCTGAGATGGAAAAACAGAAGTACCCGAGGACATAAAAGCTGAACAGAACCTCTGCAGTTGTTTCTTGGAAAGGGATTATTTCCATTTCCAAGAGATAACACATCCCAGGAAACAGAGCAGCTTTTGCAGCCCCCTGCTCCCTGGCAGGGCAGTTTAACACTCAGGGCAAAGATAACAAAATACTGGCAGGCCAAAAGTGCCCCTGGCACTGCACGTGGGGGGCTGAGGGACCAGGAGAATTACAAATAAACAACAATAAAGAGCAATTTTCACTCCTGGAAGATGGAAAAAAAACAGAGCCAAGCACATCAGCTATGGAGGGTTTGGGGAGCACTCTGTTTTTATACAAGGAGGAAAAAAATTTCTGACCACCTTTTGCTGCCCCTGTGTTCTTCCCTGCATGACACATTCCCAGTGCTCCTGGCCCTTTCCCAGATTTTCCAGCTGATCACTGGGAAGGCTCTGGTGGCTCTGCAAACAGATTAAACTGATTCCAGATGAACACAGTGGAGCAAAAAGGTGCAGACACGTTTCTGTTTCCCACTGAGCTGGCACCCGGCCCAGGCTGTTTGGCATCCTTAGAGGGGTGAGGACCTGGCACAGGGTGCCCAGAGGAGCTGCCCCATCCCTGGAATGCTCCAAAACCAGCATGGACAGGGCTTGGAGCAACCTGGGGTAGTGGAGGGAGTTTGGAATGAGATCACCTTCCAACCCAGCGAAGAATTTCCTCCTAATACCTAATCTAATCTCCTGCCATGTGACAAGACTGGATCTTGCAGCAGATTTCAAACAGGAGAAGCTTTTCCCCACCACTCGAACACTGGGATGCTGTCACAGGCTGTGGTGGCAGTCAGCAGCTTTGGCAAGAGGGGTGATGAAGCTTCTCCACGGGGAAGTGCTGCAGAAGCTCCACCCAAGGTCTCAGATGTTGGCGTGGGAGGGCTCTGAAGGGGCTGGAGCCCTGGGACACCTTTCCCAAGCAGCCCCCAGAGCCTGGAGATGGAGCTGGGGCGTCCCACCGAGCACAGGATGGCAAGGATGAGTTAATGCCAGGTGTGAAAAATGCACATTTTATGATTGGCTTTTCGCAAATATCAAATTGAGTACTATATGCATTGTGTTATATTGATTAGAAGTGCTGT